GGCCCCAGTGCTGCCAGCCCAGCTGCTGCAGACCCCAGTGCTGCCAGCCCAGCTGCTGCATCTCCAGCTGCTGCCGCCCCTCCTGTGGTAGTTCCAGCTGCTGTGGCTCCAACTGCTGCCGCCGCTGCTGGTCCTGCTGCCTGCGCCCTGTGTGCGGCCAGGTGTCCTGCCACACCTCTTGCTACCGCCCCACGTGTGTCATCTCCACCTGCCCCCGCCCCATGTGTTGCGCCATCCCTTGCTGCTGATCTGTGGCTGTCATCTCCGTCACATTACGGACACCTGCCCTAGTCATATAACACACATGGTAGCCACCCAGTGACTGAAAAAAGGGGCTCTTTACCTGCCAAACCCTCTCCTAATGTGGCCTTCAGAGTTGCATTCAGTTCTCCTGTAAAAAAGCAGATGGGAACACATTTGTTAAAAGATTTTTAAGCCACACCCAAAATACATCTATTTTTAGGCAAGCAATGTCTGTATGCTAATTGTGATGATCTCACAGAGCATTGTTTCCAGGTATTCTCAATAAACAGTCATTTCCTACGATACTGAAATCTCCTGAATTTTTTCCTGATCCATTAATTATATGCGTGTGTGTGTGTGTGTGTGTGTGTGTGTGTGTGTGTATCTGTCACTTCACACACAGGACCACCTTTGCCCCACTGTAGAGGAATCACATCACCAGTGCTGAAATCAGGATGTACCAGGCATTTGTTCGATGACACGGGGAAGTTACTAACCTCTTTCTGCAGCAGGTGACTTTTCTGTGAAATAGAGAAATATGCTGCATTTTCCAAAGGTTTAAGGACCTAACCCAAGTAATGCACTGATCACAGGGGCTAGCATATCACATAAGTTCTCAACCAATGTAGCTTGAGTTTTACTGAAATACTACCCTGAACCTGAATAGTATTGTCTTTGAAAAAACAGCAGGAAAAAAATTTTTTTAAAAATATTTTAATTTTTAAATTTTTTTTTTGTTTTTTTTTCCAGTACCAGGAATCGAACTCATGACCTTGCACTTGCCAGGCAGGTGCTGTGCCACTGAGCTAAATCCCCAGCCCCACAGCAGGAAAATTTGTATAGCTGTTTCATTTACCAAAACTAAGTTTTGGTACATGCCTTAAATATCCTTTAAAAATTCCAGTGAGTTGAATATGCCAAAGTCATCTAAATTTTACCTGACTGTATTTCTCCTTCCAGGATTGGTTCTATAAATTTCAAAACTGCTTAAAACTCAAAATTTCCATCCACTGCATCATAGTAGTGTTATATTTCCAAATAAGATGTGTACTGAGTTATTTTATTTTGAAAATTAAAAAAGGGTCTTAGTATGTCAAGAGATAAAATGAATGGAAATCGGCATAACCTGAGTTTCACCTCAACACTGGTTGGGCGGCATATTCTTCACATGTCATTGAAACGCTTTCAAACACTGCTAGTTCATCCTTTTCCACTTGTTCTACACTGTTCCAAGGAGTACAGACCTGCTTTTCCTTCATTAGGATTTACGCATCTTTCATCTTCCCTTATGCTCTTCCTTTACAACTTCTAATTGCCAGATACAAGCACTGGTTTTAATGGAATGCTTTATTAGCTAGAGTGAAATCAAAGCAGAGCAACTTTATATGGCCCTTTCAGTTTTACAGTATAGGAGGCTTATAATTTCCAGTTTTTACAAGACCAGGAACAAGCTGGCACACTTGTGTGGTAGGAGTGTACTACACACTGTGTGGTAGGAGTATGCCACACGCTGGCCTAGGTGTTGGTAAGTTAAGGGACGCTTGGTACCCAGGGCTCACAACAACAAGAAGCAGGTGTGAAATTCTCTGTGAGGACTTGGGTGAAGAGGCCTGGCATAGTATGCAAAGCTTCTTAGGTTTAGTACCCAGGTGCTCAGGCATGATAATTGCCTTTAGGGAGAACTATAGTGCTCCACAAGGTCCAAAAGTGATACTGGAGTATCAGGAAAACCAGGACAGAGATAAATATGAATCAGAAAATGTGACTGGGGTGATTATTTTGTAGTCGCTTCAACTTTACCTACATGTAGAGAGAGGGTGGATTTTAAGTCAATAAAACACAAGGTCTACTCTTCACTTTATCTTATTTGGACATTCTAAATGTGTACCTTTGGAGTTGCTCAAGCCCTTCTAGGTAAGAAATCCTAAGCAGTATAGCAACAAACGATGTTCTGATTGAGGAAATAGAAGAAGCAGGAGTTGTAATCCCACAAATCCATTTTAGTAGTCCTACCTGGCCAATGGGTAAGGAAGACAGCGCCTGGAGGTTAACAGCGGGCTCTTGGTGAATACACAGGTGGTTCCTCCAGTGTGGGTGGCTGGACTCAACATGTAAGAAGAACTTTACCAAAATCGGCGGCTGCTAAGCCAACACGGGCCAGCCAGGTGCCAGTTACGTTTGAGTTTTCTTACCCTACTGCCATAATCTAGGGAGGGAGACTGGACACAGTGACGATTATGAGCAAGTTAACACCACACATCATGATGTGGTGCTAGGGCCTGAAAAATCATTAGTGGGTAGTCCAGAGATGCACAGAAAGCAGGAAGGAAGTTAGTGTATGCAAAGGCAGCATTTCAAATCAGTGAGCAATGGGGAAGATGTATTCTTTACTAAATGGGGCTGGGCTATGCTCAGACATGATTTTAAAACATATAGATCTTATATCTTGCAAGAGCAGCAGAAACACCAAAATGACAGCCAGGATTAGGAGGCAGATTTATTTATATTCATGGACACTGATCAGGATCATTCCCAAAATATCAGGTCCAGTCTCTGGTGGTCTAGAGAAGGAAGCAGGAATTGCAGAGCAGAATGGCTTGTCAACTGGGGAGTGGTTTATACAGTGTGCATCACAGTGACCAGCTGTTTCTAAGAGACAGGAGCTACTGACATCTGGAACCGGAACAGGAACTGTTACCTGGACAACTAACAAACCGAAGTACACCAGTGTTGGGGGGCATTTTCTGCTACACTCATATCTTTTTTCATTCCTGATATTCCTAAATATTTCAATAAAGAAAGCATGACATCTTGAAGTTAGCGGATTATGGAGGGACATTTGTTTAAATTTGTAACTGGAGAAGCCTTTTGAAAAGGCCCAGAAAACATAAAATATAACTGCATCAAAAGCAACATGAGAGTTAGAACCTTTTCGTTTCCTGTCTGATTTTGCAGGAAGGCAGGATGCCAAGTGACTAGGAGCATGGGGTGGGTGCTGGCCCAGCCGGGATCAAATCACGGCTCCTCTGTTTACTGGCTTAATCTTCCCTGTACCTCAGGTCCTTCCCCCAGAAGGAGGGGATTATAATGGGATTTGTGCCCTGGACTGTTGAGACTCTGAACGAGCTGATAGGGGCAGAGCACTGGACAACTGCAGACCATGTTGCTGTCATGGTTCTGCATCCCACCAAGTGCCCAGCACAAGATCTCAGAGCCTGGAGAAGGAGACCATCTGCATCTCCATGTTGCTCAGACTCTCAGGGAGAAAGACACTCTGAGACTACCATGGTGCCATACCCCCAAGCTTGACTTTTGATGTCAATTTTTCTTCCTCATCTCTTGGTTGGCTTTTACTTTTCCAAGTTCTTGTTTTTGGGCCATGACTTATCTCTTCTAATTTGCTCATCCTTACAAGCTTTAAACTATTCATGTCAGGAGGTAGGAGACGTGAAGTATGCACAGAGACAGGTATAAAGCACAGAACTGCATAGTTGCATTGGGATATCTTTTGTGGCTTTTACGAAGAACTGGGGGAGATTCATGGCCACGCGTGTCTTACTGTGATAATTTTTAAAATTTAAACATTAAGAATAACTTTTACAAAGAGCCACTGTGCTGTAATTTCGACCTGAAATGTTCTCCCAAGACCTGTGTGATGAGGATTGATACCTTGGGTGGTATCACTGGGAGGAGCTGGGACTTCAGAGAGTTGAGATCCCAGGAGAGTTCTTAGGTTACTGGGGATCTAGAAAAGAAATTGTGGAACCTCAAATTTGTGGGACCTTGTAAGGAGTGGCTGAAGCTGGAAATTGATCACAGGTGTGGGAGTGAGGCAAGGCAGGTCTAAGAACAAAGAATGCCCAAGGCAATCCATGTGGACAAGCTGCTTCAGTCCAGGGAAGAGCAAGCCCCGAGACAATCCAAGCCATGGGTTGTTGGGCAAAGCGGTGTCACGTGACACCAACCTGCCAAATGTATGAATAAATGTGCCGTGGTGGTTGAGCAGTTCCTTTCCTCCCATCCAGAGAGAGGGCTCCACCTGACCTCAGCTTTCTGTCTCTTTTCTTGATTTCCTCATCCTCTCACCATCCTTACCCCCAGGAACTTCAAGAGCCATGAGGGCTGTGATATATGGTGCCTGAACATGGGACCAAGATAAAAAGAAACAACGGGTGAGGGGACACTTCTCATTGTGCACACAAAAGGGGGAGAAGCACACGATAGCATCAACAGTAATCACACAAGTGTATTGATATCAATATCATCAGGTGTAAAACTTGGGGCAAAGAGGGAAGAGGGTTCACTAGGGCCAAAGAAAGAAGCACATTTTGCTATGGACATGGAGAGATGACTAACACATCTCATTATACCTCTATTTTCAGCTTGTTACCAGCCAAGAACTTTGTTATTTCATAACAAGCAAGGTATCTGTCCTTTGTTGTTTGCTGTCACTTGATGCTGAGAGTATGTCTAACCCTGCCCCACTTTAAACTTTTAAACAATATCTGTTCCCAGAAATCCCAGAGGGTGTTTGCACTTTAGAGGCAGGGCAAAAATTAAATTGTCCATTGCATGTAAATCGCCTCACATTCCTGGCTTTTCGTAGCTCTCCATTATTTCTTCCATGATTCCGGGGGACCTGCAATCTCTCCCCAGCTCTATGAATTCCCATTTGTTCCCCATTACTTCTCATAAGAGACCTCTCAGGGCACTGCTGCTTCACAGCAGGCCAGAGATGTGTACAGTCCCAATCTTGTGCTCCTTCTTTGGAATCCTTTGTTTTTCCATGAATGTGAATGAGTGATACGTACTCTCAAAGGTCAGTGTGTGTCTCTTGAAGGCCTCAACAAAATCTTCAGTTATTAAGCAGATATCCCCTTTATCAGAAACTCATTCCATGTCAGGCTTTGGTAGGCAGAGAGCAGTAAAGCATGTTTCCTGCACTAAGGGAGTTTGTACTGTAGAAGGAGTCGGCAGACACAAGCATTTCTGACAGTGAATGAAATCATAGAGTTCCTGCACATATAAAGTATCAGAGAAAGCCAGTGGAGGACAGACTTTGCTTTGTGCAGAGCCAAGGATGACACCAAAGGCCAATGGTGCTCACACCACCAGCAAAAGATGACCCCCTCCCAAGCAAAGAGAATATCCTGACGGCAATTTGTTCCTTTCTTAAATTTTTTTTTGGTGCCCTGAGAGTCTTGATTTTGGCCCATAATCACGTGAGCTTTTGTTTTAAAAACTCTACGGATAGTGTGGTGTGGTGGTGCATGCCTGTAATCCTAGCACTCAG